AGACATTCTTCTTTGTCTATCATCAGGGTGATAATGAACTTTTTTATTTCCGGTATATTTTATTGGATCAACACTATTTTTCATCCTTCTTAAGGAATATGTTACATTATTGAGTTTGGAATTTAGGAGAGTTATCTCACTTTGAAGATGAGAGACAACACCTAAGAGTTCCTTCTTCTTATTCTCCAATTCAGCTATGGCCTTTTTATGATTTTCCTCTATCTTTTGATGTTCCTCACACCTGTTGTAGATTTCCTTGTAGTCCACATCCAAATCTTCACAGAGATCATTTTCATCACAAGCTTCTACTTCATCATCCCATCTTCCAGAAAGAGAAGTAACCGGTTCAGTAGTCTCTTTGTTGGATTCATCTTCTGACTCATCATCATCAGACCAAGAAACAGACAACCCCTTTTTCATCTTTCTGAGATAGTTGGGACATTCTGGCCTAATGTGACCAAAACCTTCGCACTCAAAACACCGAATTCCTTTACTTTGATATAATATTCTTCAGTTCTGGTATTCTTTGATCTTACTACTCTTCTATCCATTCTCTTTATAATTCTATTGAATTGCTTCCTAAGTAAAACAATGGTATTTGACAATCCTTCATCAGTATTCATGTTAGCTTGTCCCTCTTTATCTTCAATATTGGATACAAAACAATGCTTTTGTTCTTCTTTTCAATTCTATCATTCAAGGACAATTCAAATGTTTGAAGTGATCCCACTAGCTCATCAACTCTCATATTGCTGATGTTTTGGGCTTCTTCAATGGTTGTGACCTTTATGTCAAATTTCTTAGGGAGAAACCTAAGAATCTTCCTCACCAACTTCTCTTCTGATATCTTTTCTCTCAAGGCACTTAAGGCATTAGCTATTTCAAGAGTATTCATGTGAAAGTCATGAATACTCTCATCTTCCCTCAACTTTAGATTTTCAAATTTGGTAGTGAGTAGCCGAAGACTAGACATCTTTACCTTGAATGTTCCTTCATGAGTTGTCTTGAGAATTTCCCAAGCATTCTTAGTCACAATACAAGTGTTGATTAGCCTAAACATGTTCTTTTCAACTCCATTGAATAAGGCATTCAAGGCTTTGGAATTTCCAAGAGCAATTTCATCTTCCTCCTTGATCCAGTCCTCTTCTGACTTCAGGGTCTCCTTCCCATCTTTATCTTTAACCACAGGGTGCTCCTAACCCTTGATGACAACCTTCCAAGTTTTGTTATCCATAGATTTTAAGAAAGCTACCATACGTGCCTTTCAATAGTCATAATTAGTGTCATCCAAGACTGGAGGCTTATTAACATTTTCTCCTCCTTCATTGTCCATAGTACCAGAATACAAACTATATGAAGCTCAACCAAAAACAGAACAGGGTGACCTGCTCTGATGCCAATTGAAATTCTGGCACGCAAAAAATAGATGTCGAGACAAATATGACAACACTAGGATCAAAATAGCTTGAACACACAAATAAAAATGTTGAGATTTAAATGACAAAAAAGTAAAAATAACACCAATAATTGTTAACCCAGTTCAGTGCAACTCACATACATCTGGGGGCTACCAGGGCATGAAGAAAATTCACTATGATAGTATTAGTTTAAAGCTAAACTTTCCCGTTTACAACTTCTCGCCTAATCCCTACCTTGTGCAACTTCTACCTAGAAACTCTCTAGATATGAGACCCCCCTCTCACTTCCTAATCAGTCACAATCCCAGTGACAATTTAACAACAAAAAACAATAGAAGTAACACACTTCTAAGACAGTACTCGGTTTTGCTTAAAAGCTTCAACCAAGAACAATATACTCTTGCTTAAAAGCTTTAGAGTGGACAATCAATAATGGACAATAAGTAAACCTCAATGTATCAGAAGATACATGAGTGACATACAATTAACAAGCATTAAACCCTAAGGACCAACCAAAACACGACTAATCCTTATTTATCAAATTCTTCACGTGTTATTTTATTCTCAATAGTGTTAGGTCTTCTCTTTAAATAGCCTTCAAACCTAATGGACTTGAGCTTCTTGAAGCGCAAAAACAACATCAATTAGTTCTAACTCACTGCAAAGCATCCCACACAATAATATGAATAAAATACAAACTTTTCTAGAAAGGCTCAAGAATCCTTTTTACCAAAACTAACAGAATCTGTCATCACAGAAATTCCCACAATATATTTCCATGAAAAATTCACACGAGTGAATCAAAACACACTAAAAAACCACACTAAAAATATCAAAATAGTCATGCCCTAATTTTCTAGTATAGCATGTCTTAGAACATATTACAACATCATGTAGAACATGATGTTTGACTGCTATGACAAAACATCTAATTTAACATCTTGCTAACAGCTTGTTGTTTTACCAAAATGTAGTTAATCCAAAAATCACAAAACTTACACTAAGCACTTACCATATATAACTAAACTGCATATGTATAAGCTATTTCCTTTTTAGGCTATAAGATTAGTGTATTATGGCTAAAAGTCCCGATTAGTGTATTATGGCAAATACCTCAATGTTTCTTATTTGTGTTAGGGGAGATTTTTCAACTAGAGAGCATTGCACATTGTGAGACTTTTTCTTTCTAGAGCAACATCTTTGTGAGAGACACACCACATACTCACCAAAAACCTTAAGGTGATAGGTGTATGAGTTCTCTCACTTATAAATGCTCAAATCACTACATTTCTATCCAATGTGTGACTATTATCCACACTACTCACATTTGTTAATACTTAACAATTTGGAGCAATAAAAATATTCACAAATGTAGGACAACTTGAGTTCTTTTATGACCGATCTCCCGATGCAATGCAAAGTTTATGCACTACTTTTTCGCTTTTGACTACTCATTGGGGAATTACTTCAGCTATTTCATTCTTAGTGTTGTAACTTATTTCACTACATAAGGTGGAAAACTCTGGTGGATTTTGGATAACTTGAACAAAGGTCATATTGATTATTTTTTCTAGTTTCTAACAGGGGCTTAGTTTCTTAAATATGTTGTTGTATATAGTTTCAACCAAATGGTAAAAGAAGAAAAAAACTTCTTAATATTTTGCAGGCATTGATTTAGACTAGCGTGTAGAATCACGTTTTCATGTTTTCTTCTGTCATTGTCTTAATTGTTCGGTATAGATTCATAACAATACCAATTGATATGTTTGACAAACAACTTTTATTTATAAAAGTCAAAATTTATTTTTCATTTTATTTATACAGATAAGATAAAAAATATATTATTAATTAAAATATTTTTATAAACGAGTTATTTTTTTTGAAGGAAAAAAGTTTACTCTCGTTTCAAATATTTCATAAACAATGCTAAAATAAAAAGAAATATTTATATAAAAATAATTTATGATTGATCAAAATATTTTTATAATGAAAAAAAATGGTATTTATGATACAAATATTATTCTTGACTTTTGTCTTTTTTTTTTTTAATAAGTCATACTTATTACAATTTATAAAAAAAAACCGTGTCCAAAACTATATCTTGCTCATAAATCTTTGCATACACACGACTTTATTTATAAAATTTGTATATATTATCATAAAAAGTATAATAAATATATTTGATTATTATGAAACTAAAATTAATTAAATTTAAATGTATTAGAATAAAGTGTAAAATATAATTGATTTAATTTTTTTTATAATAATTTTGATTTTATTATATTTTTAAAGTGATACGGAACTGGTTAGATCTAGTCAAAAGAACTTTCATACATATTGTTTTCAATGTACATTTGAGTAAAATTATGCCTTACAAAATAATATGGGTTAGATCTAGACAAAAAAACATTCATACATATTGCTTTTGATGTACATTTGAGTAAAATTATGCCGTACAAAATAATATGGTATGTGAAAAATAAAATTACCGATTCAAATATGCAGTGAGTCAATACATTTTTTTATAAATTTTATTTTCTCATATCGTGAAAATTATATGAAAAACAAAACCACTAATCCAACTACGTAGAAAGTAAATAAACTTTAACAAAATTTGTTCTCTCATATCGTACAAATTATATAAAATGTAAAATATAAAGCTACTATAAATTTAAATATTGAATAATAAAAATTTATTAATTATTTTTCCCTTCAAAAATGTGATAATAATCAAGGAAATCATTTTAAAATTATAATATCTCTTATAAAATAATTATCTCATTTGTAAAAAAACTAAAAAAATTAATTTTTCAAATAATTTGTATAATAAAAGTTTCAATATTTTTTATTTTTAGTCGTATTATTCATAACATTGTTGTTTATACATGAATTATTATTTTAAGGGTAATGCTAACTTTTGCTTTTGAATCACAAGTTAAAAACTAAATTAAGAAATATTATCTTGAAAATTGTGTACAAATTTTAATTAAAACATAAAATTAATTTTTAAATAAATTTTTCTAATATAAATTTACTATAAGTAGATTTCTTAATTTGTGTCCCAAGAGCTAAAGTTAGAATTATTCTTATTTTAATTTAAATTTACTATTATTTTAATTTAAATTTATTATTATTTTTAATTTTTTTTCAATTTATATTTTTAGAATAGTATGCGTGTTTAAAATCATATCTTATAAAAAAAACACATCTCGATATGTAAGCGCGAGTTTGTTATTAATTTTTATAAAAGTTTGAACTAATTAAACCGAATCAAATGATATGAATTTGTTTTAATTTAATTTGATTTGATTTCTAAAAATTAACATAATCAAACACGTTTTTTTCGGATAAATTTTACCTTAAATATCCATAATTAATTAATAAATAATAAGACCTCAATCAAAGCTTAAATGGGATTTAGAAACGAACGGTGAAGTTTCGCCTATGATTAAAAAATCGAACGACATAGAGCCGACTCAGGATGAGAAACGATGGTGGTGTCTGATTCCAATGTCACGACTCAAGAAAATACCCAAAATATTCCAATCCATCGATCAAATTGGGATTAGGGTTTCATATTGGATGGAAATGGACTACGCTACAGAGTTTTCCATGGATCGTCGTCCTCGAAAAAAGCCTAAATTGGCTTGGGAGCTTCCTCAAACTCACTCAAAGGTAACCCCTTTCAGTTTCTTCACATTCATCAATTTTATCTTTCTTACCAACAATAATTATATTTTGGGAATAAATCCACTGTCATCGTGATTTTAAAAGCTAATCTTATAATTTTGCAAAATTGTTGTTAAGAATTTGTTTTGATCCTGAAAAGAGAGATTTTTTCATTATTGTCAAAATTGTACATTTGATGCTTAGCATCTAACGGTGTTTGGTAGCAGAATTCAGTGTGTTTAAGTAGTTTTCTGGATAGATATTCATTTAAATGATCTTAAACACTATGGAAATTTTTCTAAAAAGTTGTTAGTTTAAGAGAAAAAGTATGAGTAAGTGATTGTGTGTAGGCTCATTCGGGGATGTATTGTGGACAAGAGTTTGCTAATGTGACAACAAGCTATGGAACACTGAGGGTACTTCCTGACCAAGCTGGTCTATCAATAAAAGGATTGGCGGAAAAAGGTTCTCCTCAATGGCGAGAGGATGATAAAGATGGACATTACATGTTTGCGCTTGGAGAAAACTTAACTTCTCGGTGTAATTGCATTTAACCACCATTGAAAAGCTTTTCTCCATTTTTTTCTCTTTCCATTAGACATGGTTATGTTGCTTGATGAATATTCTAAACTTATGTTATGGTCATTGTTTATATGATCATGCATATTCTATCAATTATTACTTTTTCAACATTTACTTTTTATTTTAAGAGTATTTTATGATAAAAAATGATAGTTGTTTAGTTATCTTGTTTTCTATGGAAACATTAATTTTTTCACATGCATGCTCAAAATGTATATTTGAAGTTTTGTTAAGTTGCATCATTACTTTAACTTTCTTACCCCTGAAAAATGTTTATCATCTTTGATATGTAACTTTACTTAAACCTTCATGTGATCTTATATTATGTTGATATACCAATTGATAAGATCTTTCCCTATAATTTTTATTGCCATACTTTCCTACTAAAAAATTTCTCAAATTTTCCTTGGGAATCTTGACAAGTAAGGGATTTGTTTTGATGCCTTAATTTGTATTCATTCTCAATTTCATGTATTCCTAATGTGTCTCTGTTTCTAAACGTGCAGATAAGATCCTCAGGAAAATCGGTGAAGGTTATTATCATCATTATCTTCTTTACTTCTTTTAGTGTGTGTATATATAATCTCAATATTAATGCTGCATGCGTTATCTGTTCTATGTTTTCAGGGACTTTCGGTCAGGTTTTGGAATGCTGGGATAGAGAAATGAGGGAGGTAGTTGCCATAAAAGTTGTGAGGAGTATAAAGAAATATCGTGAAGCAGCAATGTTAGAAGTTGATGTGCTCCAATTGCTTGGGAAGTATGACAGGAATGGCAGTCGGTAAGTTTTTATTTTTTTATTTTTTTCCAGTGCCGTACTAATTGTGATTTGAAGTTTGTGTCAATTTTAAATTGTTTTATCATACGCAGCTGTGTTCAAATACGCAACTGGTTTGACTACAGGAACCATATTTGTATTGTGAGTATCTAATTGACATATGACATTGTCATTTCCAAACTTCACAAACTTCTATGGGGGTTAAGACTCGTCTGAAATTTTAATAATTTTACAGGTATTTGAGATGCTTGGACCAAGCTTATATGATTTTCTCCGGAAGAACAGTTATCACCCATTTCCAGTTGATCTTGTCCGTGAGTTAGGAAGACAATTGCTGGAAAGTATAGCATGTGCGTAATTGCCACTTTCATTATTTCTATTCTTTCCAGATTTGATGTCCAACTCCAGAGGCATATAAATGACATTCTTCTATGGTCTTTAGGGTGGTTATGAACTTATGATGGTTACTTGTGGATTTAGTCAATATATTTTACTTAAACTGTTCACTTCTTTTTCCCAATAATACTTTTATAACTCTTATAATTTATCATATAAAACCATTTAACTTATTGTGAATGAGTATAGATAACTCATGAAACCCACCCTCTCTGAAAAGAAGGGAGGAAATTGTTAAATGTTTAAATGATATTCATGTTGGCTGTGTTACTAAATTGGCAGTTGTACATGATCTGCGCCTCATCCACACTGACTTGAAGCCTGAGAATATACTTTTTATTTCCCCAGAATATGTAAAAGTGCCTGACTACAAGGTATTTCTGCTTCCTGTGGTCGATTTTTAGATTGTATTTTCCTCGGTTCTTTAAAAAGGTGTTTCTGATGGTGGAGCTATGAGTCTGCTTTACAGCATGACTAAAAATTGTTTGCTAATGCTAAAGCTTTGTCAAATTATCACAATTTTAATCTGCAGGTCATGTTCCGGTTGCCAAAAGAGGTAACCTCTTTTAAAAGACTGCCAAAATCAAGTGCTATTAAGGTTATTGATTTTGGTAGTACTGCTTATGAGCACCAAGATCACAACTATATTGTCTCTACTAGGCATTATAGGGCTCCTGAGGTTATTCTTGGTAAGTTTCTACTTCTCTTTGGTAGTGTGGCGTATATTATCCCTACCAGGCATTGTCAAACCAAGACCACAGCTATATTGCCTCTACTACACCTATGATTTTCATATTCGCTTTGTTTAAAGCTTTATTGTTTTGATACGGTTCAAAAGTAATTGTAGTTTGTTTATTTGTTACTAGGACTTGGTTGGGGTTTTCCTTGTGACATTTGGAGTATTGGTTGCATTTTGGTTGAGTTGTGCTCGGTATGTTGAGTTCCTCAATATAGTGATTCATAAGCCATAAAATTTGATCCAAATATACTACATGAGCAATGTATTAACTGCAAAACGGTTACAGGGAGAAGCTTTGTTTCAGACGCACGAGAATTTAGAGCATCTTGCCATGATGGAGAGGGTTTTAGGCCCAATGCCTCAACACATGTTGAAAAGAGCAGAGTGTGTACCATTCCAAATGAATAAATTAAATATTGTTTCTGTTGACATTCTCTAATTGCTCCTCCGTCTCTTGATTTCTTGCACAGCCGCCCTGCAGAGAAGTATGTCAGAAGGGGTAGACTAAACTGGCCCGAAGGAGCAGTCTCCCGAGAAAGCATCAAGGCTGTCTTAAAACTACCTCGACTTCCTGTCTGTAACATAATTTAAATATCTAGGATAATTTTCTCTTTTGTTCCACATTCTAAGTGTTCATTTATATTTGTTTATTTTTGCCAGAATCTGGTGATGCAGCATGTGGATCACTCGGCTGGGGATCTTCTTGATCTCTTGCAGGGTCTACTTCGGTTCGACCCCGCGAGCAGGATGAAGGCTCATGAAGCACTCAGGCATCCCTTTTTCACTGGGGAGCATTACCAGAGGTATTAAATATAGGGTTCATCACGTCATCGGTAATAGATAACTGGTTGTGTTGTGTTTGGCTATAGATAACTGCAACATTTGTAACGGTAAGTTTTCTTTTCACGGTGGTTCTTTTTCTTGATATATAATGGTCTGTGTGTAGGGGGTTTATTACCCCTTTATATTTGCCTAGATTTGTAGATAAATTTATTGTCTGAAGAATCTTTCTCTATCTCCATTTTTGTACCATTGAAATGTAAATTATAATTATAAGCATTTTACTTTCGATACAAGTATTTGTTTGACCAGCTTGACTGTATGCTGATTGATAACGCATTGAACTTATAAATTATTTCGCTGTAGTCATTAGCAAGTCATGGCACAGTAATTTGTATTTAATGCGGATTTGGCTTTCAAGTTACTTCCACCGGACTAAGGTTTAGTTTATCTGTGGTTAGTGATTCTGATGTACTTTAGGAGTATTATCTTCCTTTACTGAGAGAAGTAAGAAATAAGAAAACTATACATAGCACTGGCCACATGGTCTTCCTCCTGCATTGCCTATACAGGTTTGCAACTGATATACTGTTTCAAGTTATTAATTTCACATGCTTGCAAAGTTCTAATTTTTTGCCTTGTACTGGCTCTTATGCTGAATATGTTATGGGTATGAGAACATTAAATCATTAATATACACATTTTAACCTTTGAGAAAAATGTGGTGCCTTTAGTTTATGAAGAAAAACTAAATCAACCAATAGTCCTTTAACATTACTAATTCTGGACACATTAGCCTCTAATTAAAATTTAACCAGACTAGTGTGTATTGCTTTTGTAATGCTCCTGAACTATATGTCAATTTTTTCTGCTTAGGTAAAATTGAATGTCAATTTTTTCTGCTGAAATTAAATTGTATTTCAATTTTTTCTTTATATTAAGTCCTTGCAAAAAACAAAAATAACAAAAAATTAAGACACATGATCTAATTTATTACTCTAATATGGTCATAATATGTCTTTTGATAATTATGACTTGGCATATCTCATCAATTTATGAAAGAGTTGAAAATAGTTATGAATAATATTTGTTTTGTTTTTGGGAGTAGTATAAAGAGCAATAATAAATTTGAAAATTTATTTAAAATTTTTCAAAATCATTCTCCAATGCATTCTTTTAGTTTATATTAGAGGGTTTTCGTCCTGTAAAAAAAATTAAAAAATCTCATGCAAAGTGGAAGGAGTACTCACCCTTCCCTTTACTTATTTCTTTATCATCAAAATAGTTTTCTTTAATTTCTCAAATATAGTTTATTGACCTGCACAAATTCAAATCTTAAAAATAAATTAGTTGTAGCTTGTTACACGTAGTTTCCATGTTTTTTTCCAACAACAAATAAGTTGTTTAAGATTAGGTAGGATCACTACATAACATGTACTTATATATTATTATTATTTTTCACATTGGTCCGCCTGTCTCAACTTAGAGAAACAAAAAAAGGATATAAGTCGATGTTGTAAAATAATTTTACAATGACAATTAAATCAACGGTGTGTAACCTATCAAATCATACTTAAAATTTAAAAATCCTTTAATGATTTATTAAATTATTAATTTTTTATTGAAAGACATTGTAAAACTACTTAACACAGTCAAGGCATATCTATTGCATTCCTCAACTTTTATAAATAATTTTTATAATGTTATTTGTTTGAATTTTTTTTATAAAGTAAAAACTTCAAATAAAAATAGAGTTTAAATAATTTTTTTATAAAATATCATTTTAGATATTTCATCTTTTTATTATAATTTTTTAATTTTAAAATTTTCAAAAGCACATAAGTTTAAAACTATTTTGAACAACTTTTTATGAAAAATATTTTTAAAATACATCTTTATGTAAATTTGATTATGTTTTAGTTTTTAGTGTATATTTATGTTAATAGATATCAAAATTAATTTTTTAATTTATAAAAAATGAATTTTAAATAAATTTATTTTAAAAAATCATGAAAATCATTTTTAAATATAAAAAATAATTAAGTTTGTTTTAATAGATTTTTTTAAAACTTGGACAGAATCTATCTTTTAAGTCAAAATGAACGAGATATCATTTTTTTCTTCTTTTAATTTCTTCTCTTTCTCTTTTGGGCTTTATTGTGCTTCTAAAGAGATTCAAATATGATGGGAGTTACTTTTTCTGGGTTTGTTTCCACTACGGTTAAAAATTAAAACTGTTTTTACCGTTTACTTTTTCTTTACACATCCTTTAGCGCAAAAAGACGAGTTATTTTTATTTTGTCAAAATTTAATTTGGATATGTATCTCTCTATATATAAGGGTCAGTCTGTATATAAATCTTCGTAAATATAATTAATTCAAAATTTAGTGGATATTACGGAGATACATCTCCGAACGCGTTTTGTTTTATACATTAATCCATGCTATACCTCTCCCTCTTCCTCCATTTTTTGAATATTTATTCAAGGTCACTCACTCCATTTTCAAACCATTTTGCTCCAAATCATTTTCAAATCCTATTTGAGCAAGTTTCATAAGGTCACTCATTCCATTATACTTCATTTGCTGCAAAGTTGCTCACTCTATTTGAGGTTCTCAATCACAACTCTATTTTTGTAAGTTTATCATATCATTCATTTTGTGTGTTTTGAATGATGTTTTAGGCAACATAGGTTGTTTGAGCTGCATTAGATAGTAGTACAATCAAAATAGGTAGTTGATATAGAGATGCATTGCCATTTTGTTGGAGGTTAGGGCAAGAATGAGGTTTCTGCCATTGATGAAAATCATCAGTTCATCCGGAGATGTATCTCTAAATTTCTCTATGCTATTTTCGGAGATGTATCTTCGGATTCGTTCCTGGTTGCATTTTGGTTGAATTATTGATGTGACTTTCTTGTTTTATTACATGTGCAATTGCTGGAAACAACTTGAACGCAATTAGACTTGGCTGTGTATCCCAATACAAGAATATATGACGTGAGAGAGTTAGGGGAAGGGTCACGAGTCGATGATACCTCGTTTGATGGTTCACAAGGTCGAGGTTCACAACCATTTAATTTTACTTTCCGTAGTCGCCTGTCTCAAGCATCTACTTCACGAGCCATGTGTCCCTTATTTATGAAGCCCCTGAAGTCTAGGAGGTACCCATTACTGATGCCACTGTAGATAGTTATCCAGGTGTTCCATTTGACACCTCCTTACTTCATCTATATGAAGACCATGTTGCTAGACATGTATAGTAAGAAGATGTATTTTTATTTACCTTTGCATTACATCTGTTTTAAACTAATTTAATCGCGACTTATGGTTATTTTAATTTTTTTTATAGGGGCTTTGATCAGTGCATCTTTATGCACATTCTCATATATTTTTACTTAGGCATTTCTTTACTTTATTTTGATTATTCCTATGTTTTATTATGTTTTTATATTTTATTTTATTTTTGGTTTAATTTGATTTTCGCACTTTATTTTTAAGCTTTAGCCGTCTGCACGGAAACGATCATAACTGGAGTTCCGGGAATCCGTTTGAGGCGTTCTAATAATCGTCGAAAAGCTAAGAGAGAGAGCTACGACTTTCGTGTTGGAGTCGAAGTCAGATTCGGAGCACATTTTCCCAGAATATTCATCGAAGTTACAACATTAGAAATTTATTTTAGTTTTGGGTCATGTTTTGGGTCTGGGTTATGTTTTCGACCCAGTTGGGTTATGAACCAGATCGCTTGTTTTTCTTTTTAGGGGAAACTCGTGTTACTGTTCATTAATTCACTATTGACGAAAATATTGTTGAAGCTTGTACGATTCGAATGGAGAACTAATTCCTTAGAGTCAATATGTTGTAATCGCGTTCCAACGCTTTGAGGTTTATACTTTATCAATTTAATTCGTTTCTCTTTCAATACTATTCTATGAATTGCATTTTATTAATCTGTTAGTTTATAGAATTGTCTTGATTTAATTCATATGATTGCATCCTTAACTTTTATTCGCCGTTACGTCGCTTTGTCGTTAATTCGCGTTTGTAATTCGTGTTTGCTTAATTCACGAAAATTTAATCCGTTTGCTTAATTCGGAATACAGGATTGTCAATCTAGTTTATATCTTTTGCGCTTGTCAATTGACATAGGAATCGAATAGAGATCGAAGTCGCTTAGGAAATTGGTAAGGTAGAAACCCGTGATAAGCCGGAACCGAAAACAGTAGATTGACTTATTTTGATAATCACTTATTTTAACCGCTTAATTGCAATCTTTTTATTTAATTGATCATAACCAAACAAACCCCCTTTTTATTCGATTAGTAATAATCAAGAATCCTCGAGAACGATATTCTGAGTACTGTCGATGTACTGCATTTTTACAAAAATACTCGTTTTGATCCGCGCGGGACAGAGGATCAAATTGGCGCCGTTGCCGGGGATTCTTGTCGTTATTAATCGATATTAGAGTCATAGGTTTAGTGTTGTAGTGCTTAGGCCCTAGGTTCCCCACGTTTTTGGCCTTCTCACGTCTAGAGTCGAAAAAATCGATTTTTGGAAAAATTGTGTCCGATTGTTAAACTGTTTTGCCTACGAGAAGCAGAAAAATCGTCCGGTCATTAGTACTAGTATTCCTAGTATTCTTAGAGGAATACTTGGAATCCACCCTCAGAATCGCCAAAAAACCCTTTTTTCTATTTTTAATGAATTTTTTACTGTTTTCATAGAGTCGAAAAAAATTGAAAAAATTCTCATAAGTGTTTAAAATATATAAACCACAGAAGGAAAATATTGGATTTGAAACATCTTGAAGCTGACTAGTCCAAGAATATTATCCGCTACTCTGGTCTTACCAATTTATGTGTTGTTGTTGCATACATTACCTTATACCATGACATGCAAATGCCATTTGCAGAGAGACGACATTCAGAGACGTCATCTTTCCACCTTTATATTGCCGAGATGACCATCACCCTGAACGATGTCTCATGCCTCTTGCATCTTCCCATTAGGAAAAAATTACTGAACCA